TCTAATAAGAATAAATATGTTTTATATTTTTTGGAAAATTACATACATATCCGTCATAGTTTCCGTTATTACAGCTCTACCAAATAGTTTCCGTTATTACCACCATATCCGTTTTTTCATGTCAAAACGAAAATTTTAAAGAGAGATGACTTTACCCTTTTTCGGTTGTTGAACAACCGAATTCAAAGTATTTTCGGTTGTTCAACAACTGAAAATACACAAGTTCTTGAAGAACTGAAAATTTTTGAAAAACCAAAAATTTCAATAACCAAAAAAATGTTTTCTCTCTCTCTTGTGGCGTATTTTCCCTTTTCCTCTACCTCTCTGAAGTCATAGTTATGCAAAAAAATCAAAGAGGAACAACTAGTTTGAGCCCCAAATTTAAGAGAAATTATGAGATTAGAAGATTAGGATAATTCTTGTAGCGTATTCTCTGTCTACCTCTTTGATGTCATGATTATCCGATAAAATCATGAGAACAGCTAGTTTGAGCCCCTAAATTTAGGAAAAACCTCAAGAAATTACACAAAAAAAAAGACGTTGGGTGAAGATCTGCTTATGCTCTCTCTACATTACATAGATAAAAGTGAATTTTTTTTTTTTTTAACTCTCTGTCTCCCCTTCACTGAGCATCTTTTTTTTTGTAAGTTCATAATCCTTGATATTTTTCTAAATTTAAGGGCTCAAACTAGTTGTTCCCCTTTGATTTTATCGGGTAACTATGATTTGAGAGAGGTAGAGAAAATACACCACAAGAGAGAAAACATTTTTCTATTATTAAAGAACCGAGAACAACCAAAAAAGGATAAAATCATCTTCTTCTTTTTTAATTTCCGTTTTGAAGTGAAAGAAACGGACAAGGTGGTAATAACAGAAACTATTCCGTAGAGCTGGAAACTATAACAAATAGGTATGTAATTTTCCCAATACTTTTTATATATTTCATACCAAGTCGACTCAGCCCGGTCCGACCCAACCCAATAGGGTCCATACCGGATCTAGAACCATACGCAACGTGGATCAGGTCCAAGCATGCAGAACTGACACGCTGAGTCCAAACCAATCATTATTGGGCATCTGACAATTCTCTCTCTAAAATTTTAAGATGCTTTCTCTTTCTAAACTTAAATTTTGAGATAGTTTCTCTTTCTAAAAATTTTCGTTAGTTTCTCTTTCTAAAATTTTAATATACTTTCTCTCTTTAAAACTTAATATTTGAGATAGTTGCTCTATCTAAAATTTTTCAAATAGTTTCTCTCTCTAAAAATTTTAGGCACTTTCTCTATCTTAAATTTGATATGGTTTCTCTCTTTAAAGTTTTAAGATATTTTCTCTCTCTAAAATTTTCAAGTAGTTTCTATCTCTAAAATTTTAATATACTTTCTCTCTCTAAAACTTAAAATTTGAGATAGTTTCTCAATCTAAAATTTGATATAATTTCCCTCTCTAAAGTTTTAAGATATTTTCTCTCTCTAAAACTTAAAATTTGAGATAGTTGCTTTCTCTAAAATTTTCTGTAGTTTTTCTATCTAAAATTTATGATTTGAGGTACTTTTTCTCTCTAAAATTTTAATTTGGTCTCCCCAAAACTTTAAGGACCCGGTTTCTATGCGGCTAAGCCCACATATGTAGAAATGTAGGCCCATTAATAAATCTATTTTTGAGATAGATTGTTTGGCTTAATTTTTAAGAAAATGTAATCTTTGACATAGAGACCATGAATACGAAAAAATAAGTAAATTTAAAAGACTAGAAATAATAATGCTAGTAAGAAAACATTTGGATAGTTAGTTTTCATTGTTTTTAGATGGAACACCTACTAACATCCATCTTTAAGATGGGATGCTTTACACTTTTTGGACCGCATATGTAGTCATGCGATCCAGCTCGCATGAACAATTTTTTAAACTTTAAATTTGAGATAGTTTCTCTCTCTAAAAATTTGATATAGTTTTTCTCTCTAAAAAATTGTATATTTTCTCTCTCGAACAAATTTCATATACTTTCTCTCCCTAAAATTTGGTATAGTTTCTCTTCTAAAATTTTTATATGTTTTCTCTTGGTATAGTTTCTCTCTCTAAAATTTTTTTTTTCTTTTTTGTTTTCAGCACCAAAATGGATCACTTCCGGGAGATATTATTCCATGTATTTTGGTAGAATTGAGATTTTCAAAATTTAGGCTTAAAATGAGTATCAGAAATCCCACTGAAATCTCAATTCCAACGGAAATTTCAATTTTAATGGAACCAAACACGATTGGCCCAGCTTTTTTAGGAAAAGTAACTCTTGGAAATTTGAATCCAATGAGTCAAACGGAGCCTAAAAGAAATTGTTATAGCGATTAAAAGACTTGCTGGCTTGGGCTCGGACACACTTCACTCGGAGAAGACAAAGTGCCATTTCCGGATGGCTAACCCTAAAAATTGAACAGCAATTCCCTCTTTTACTCGTTGGCCAATTCAGGCAGTCTGACTCCACCCAAGTTGGACATTTACTCAGCCACAGGACCTTTAGAATTCCAACCCAAGTCTGGACTTTCACTTTTGCAAAATTAGCTTCTTCCACTTTTGTTTCACCCACAAAAGCTTTTGTATCACATGGACTCCCTCTTTTATTTTGTTAACAAAGTCAGGTTCAGAGTTTACAATTGATTTTTTCTTCAGTTATACAGTCTTCAATTTCACCAGCATTGATTGCTTCTTAGATGCCAATGAGAAGTACTAGATATACCAGTCATTTTTTGTTTCTGGTTTTTCTTCGCTCGTACATGGAGTCCAAAATAAATTGCAGCAGTAATTCGATAGACGCTTGGAGTTCATCCCACGCATAAGCATGAATGAAGATGCAACATCAACTGTGTAAGCATCATGGCCATGGCTAACAAGAGCATGAGGAGAAGGGGGGCATAATCTTCGTGTGCATGTTCCTGCCTTCTTTGGTATGTAAAATGTTCCAAGGACCTCGGCTAGAGAAACTGAGTTATTTTTCCTAAGCAAAAAGAAAACCCAGAGTAATCAAGAGGATGAATAAATGAGTATCACGAGCATTTGAAGAATGAGAAGGGGGAACCTACATAAACAAATAGCACTATTATTAGCGTTTTGCACTATTTTTATAGGCTTTATTTTTAATGGATCTGTATATTAGAAGACTGTTTACCTTATACATTAGTAGGACACAACCACCCATGCTGCTAGATTTGAAATTAGATCTTAAAGTGTGTCATTTTATTGTACAAAGTTCAAGAAACATTTTGTCATATTTCCAGCACTAATAATGGCGAATGATTTTATATCTTAGAGCTAACGGTGATTGTGGACAACTTGTACGAAACACAAAAGGTGGAAAATTTATCAAAAAGTGCTTAAGGGACAAACTAATTGACATTTTCTCCATTTCTTTTTATTTAATTTCAAAAAACCGTCAAAGGACACTAATCATGTGTTACTAATTCGGTGCATTTTGATAAATTACAAAATTTTAAATAGTTGAAATCCTAGGTGTATTTCGATAAATTCCCTTATAGAATTTCTCTTATTTTTTACCAGCAGAAGATTATAACGATGTAAAGCTAATTGCATGTAAATTGCTTAAATTTTTTGAAATAACTATAAAGCCACATAATTGATTCTGCTTACATCAGGGAAAATACTAGAATAAATTGTTGTGGAAAACACATTTAACAAGAAAAGGTATTCCATTTTTCTTTCGTTTCTCATAAATTAAGCAGTTCATTTTTTCTTGTTTCCTAAGATTATTAAATATCTCTCTTTTATTTTTTTAAATTTTCAAATTTATGGAAACTTTCCGCCTCCTTTACCAAAATGCAAACAGAAAGGCAAAAAAAGCAAAAAGAAAAAGAATCACATAATCTTTCATGTAATGATAATTAAGATTGTTTACATGGGGACCAAAGACGATAAAAGAAATGCTTGCGGAATTACCTGCCAAAATATGCTGACCCTTCCACCGTCCTAGCTCGAGCTCCTATGTTACAAAGCAAAGAGATCAATTACTTTAATCATGCCCATAACTAATAAAATGGAAAAGCAACAACAATGGACCTTAATCCAGATATCTTGTTTGCTTACTCGCCTAACTCGATCCTTGTTAGCTTAAAAGAATGTCATGTTGTAAGAAATATTGATCCATGTTTTTGTCTAGAGTGATTTACGGACTTTAATTTTTTTCCTAAAATAAGAAATACTCCATTTATAGATGAAAATTACAAAGAAGGTCAGTCAACCTATTTTTTTATTTCTTCTAAAATTGCCAGTCAGTTTGAGGATATCCTCGGACCGAATTTTAATTTTTTAAAAAAAAATTTCCGTTAGTAGGGCACTACCCTAAAGCTTAGGGCATTGCGCTACTAACGAAAAGAAACTAAAAACAAAAGAACAAAAGAACAAAAAAAAAAAATCGGACAGAGGATTCCATCTCAGACCAAAGGGAAATTTTGAAAAATAAAAAAGTAGGTTGACCGACCATTCTTTGTAATTTCTACTTTTAAACGGAGCATTTTGTATTTTAGAAATAATTTTAACTTCCATATGTAAAGGACTCTTTTGCCTATTGTGTTTTTTTCACCTCAATATTAACAAAAGGACAAGGACAAAGGAGTACATAGTAAACTATAAGAACTCTAGCAAATTTGTGTTGGATGTTGGATTTTGTACTATCCAAAATCACCCATATAAAGAAATATCATATTATGTATGATTGAAATATTTCCCTTGTGGGATTGAGATTTTCCTATATTATGTGAGATTGAGATATTTATCATATTATGTGGGATTAAGATTGATATTTGATAAGTTTCTTAAAAAAATAGAAATCCAAAAAAGAATTATGACTCTTGGATATATCTCTTGCTCTTTTAAGATATATATAACATCAATAGGAAGTTTCATATTTAGTGTGGATTCTTAATCTTATATATATGGGATGAAAGTGCAAAAAATTTGTGTGCCCTATTTGGATCACCATATGAGAATATTGTTTCCTCTAGAGAGAGGGGAGGGGAGGGGAGGGAGGGAGGGGTTCACCATATGTTTCCTCTAGAGATAAGGGGGGCGAGGGGGGGAGGGGGGGAGGGGGGGAGGTGGGGGGAGGTGGGGGGTCACCATTGGGACACCATAAGATACAAGGTTTCCTATTAGAGGGAAGAAAGCTTCCTATGGAGAGAAACATTGCCTCCTTAAGAGAGAAGAGAGCGTCCTATGGATAGAAACATTACCTCCTTAAAATTCCTGAAGGTTGAAAGGCTTGTTTCTTATAGAGAAACGGTTCCCATAGAGATTTTATGTGGTTCCTCTTTTAGTAAGCTAAAGTCTCATGTGCTCGCAAAGTTCTTTTCCTAGACATTGGTATAGTTATGGAAAAGAGATGAGAGATCGGCAGTGGTGCCATTTAAGAAAACAAGTTTTAAAGGGTTTGCTCGACTTGGGGATTTATCGAGGTTTAGATACGTAAACTCTAAATTCCAAAATCTTTATGTAACTTTGATTGGTATAGTTGATTTCTCTTTGTCCATATATGTAGCTCTTTTGGGGAAAACCACGTAAATCTTTGTGTTCTTGTGATATGTATTTCGTACTTTATTTTTCATACTTTATTTGCCAAAAATCAACTCATCGGGTTTAGAGCTTCAACGTGCAACATCAGATTTGTTGGATGGGCAATCTTGGTTAACGCCATAAATCTCCTTGAGTTTACTTTTTCATTATTTTTCACTGATTTTTCACATGTTCATCCGATAGAGATTTCTAATACGGTCAATTTGTATTGGAACATGGGTAGAGATTCCAAAACTCGATTTCAAGTTCTATAGCACCATATAAAATTTGAAGGAAAGAGTTGGGAACCACTTATCAAGGCCAGTACAACCTCGGTGACCCACTGGGCAAAAGCCATATCAGAATTCAACAAAATTCCTTGAGCATTCTTCTCAAAAAATTTCTAGGGCTTTTAATGATCAAGAGGAAGAGAATTATAAGATCTTCCACTTGAAAACCTCCTATGGATGGGTTATTCAAGTTAAATTTTGATAGGAGTGTGAGAAAAGAGGAATAAATAAATGGACTCTCAGAGAATCCCCATGGACGTATGAAGGAAGGATGCACCCATGTCATATCAATGAGGCTCAACTTTGGGCACTTATAGGAGTAACGAAATTAACTTCTACACAAAAATTGGTAGTTATTGAGGGTGATTCGGTAAATGTAATTAAATGGAGTAAAGAGCTCCGACATGTTCCTCGGCAGTTGGTCCCAATTATAGATGAAGTTCAATTCCTCCTATTGAGAGAGGTGTTATCTTCTCCCATGTCAATGAGGAAAGGAATGGAGAGGCAGATCGAATAGCTAAGGAGGCAACCTCATAATCATCTATATATGTGGACTCTCCTACCTAGCTTTCCTACTTCTTTTCCTTTCTCACCTCGTATTTCTTCTCTATCTTTTTTCTCTCTTTCTTTTTCATTTCTTCCTCCTTTCTTTTCATCTTTCTTTGGTTTTTTTTATCCCTTTTTTTCCCTCTCTCCTTTCTTTTTCTTTTTCTTTATGTTCTTCACTTGTTATGCTTTCTTGTACTTCTCTCATTTACTCAATGAAACTCTCCTAACATTCAAAAAAAATAAAAATAATAAAGGGGAATTATCAAAATACCTACGTGAGATGAAATATTTAATATTGTACCCGTATTGTTTGATTTAATATCAAGATACCTATACAGAACACCTGATGAGTTGGAATGGTACCAAAAGTATAAAATGCAAAAATTGTGCATCTCTTACAGAAATTGTTATCAATTTCTCAAAAGAAAATAAAATAAAATAAAATAAAAAAAACATATTAGGTTGTCCCTTACAGCATTAAGACAAGAGGAAGAATTGAGGACTCTACTTGCCTGGCTTTATGTAAAGTTTATGATACCTCACTTGTTGGGAATTGAAAAAAGCCTGCTCCTTGAGTCCTTCATTACATGTGTATTCTCCACATGTGTAAAGCCCCTAAAAAAATAAGTAAACCATTGAAGGGCCCATAACAACCTCGAATTTGTTTCTCTTTTTTATTGAAAAATTTAGAAAAAAATCCTATTTTATTTTGGAAGTTTAAAAATAGTCTTATATATTTCAGATTTTATACGTAAAGTCTCACATTTTGAAAGTATGCAATGTATTTTAATTATCTTTTTTTTTTTATATACAGCTCTTTTTTTATATTTTCAACATTCTTACCATTGAACACATGTAAAAACTATCTAATAATAATTAACTAAATAAAATTACCAAAATAGCCCCAACAATTGAAGGGGTTTTTGGTCATTTCTTTTTGTAATTATTTTTTAATATTTTATAAGAGTGTGATGGTGAGAAATATAAATATACAAAGTTCGAGCTCAATCTAATTTATAAAAGATAAAGTTAAGACAATCTATGCTCAGTAACAGTAAGACGACAATCTATGCTCAGTAACAGTAAGACAATGTATATTATGAAATATATGAGACTAATTTTAAATTCCCCAAATAAAAGTGGATTTTTTGTAAACTTCCCTTCTTCTTCTTTTCCTAAACGATAGCAAACTCTAAAATGCTTTAATATTGCAAAAAAAAAAAAAGGGAAAGCTTTCTATACTTTCCCTACTATACATAAGTTACATACTTGCCCCTATCCAGCTACTCAGTGTGAATGGGCGGCTGAGATGGACCGAATCACAATTTCACTCTTCTATACTGTTTTATCTTTAATGTTTTTCTAGAAAATATTTTGACACCAAATTTTAGGCGTTCACTCCTCTCTTAAAATTGCACCTTCAAAAAATATATTCAAAAAATATTCCTCTTAAAATAAAATGATCAAATACCTCTAAAAAGTTTCAAGTATTTTGATCATTTTATTTTTTGAAAATATTTTTAAAATATTTGTTTTAGATGTGCCCCATTGAGATGCTGTCACATACCAAATTTCATATTCATAAGATTTGTGAAAAAAAATCAAAATAAAATACTCTAAGACATTGATCTAGATCAAATGGTCATTGGCTCACTTGATCTAAATTGGATCGAGGGAAAGTATATAACTTGGCTATGAAAGTATAGAAAGCTTTTCCAAACTTATAGGTATCATCAATTGTACTTTCTTTTAAGGTTATAGATGTTCCCAAACTTATAGGTATCATCAATAGTACTTTCATTTCATTTAAGGTTATAGATGAGAAACAACACATAACGAATCGGAGATAACAAAAAGAGTGATGATTTATGGAGTTCAGCAGTACCTGTTGCAAGCAACCGATCCGAATCTGTGTAGCCATAAGCTCATGTTGCTTTTCACTAATAGCGTCATTTAGTTTGATGATTAGGGAGCCGATGTGATCCACAGTGTTAACCAGAGCTTTGGAAACATACGCCTTCAAAGTTTCCAACACCCTAATTCTCACAGACAATGCAAGTTGTGAACTCAAATTTTCAAATATAACTATCCAATTATCTAAATCAGGGTCCCTTAGGATAACAAGCAACCATATCAGATATCCACAAAAAAATAAAAACGAAAAAACAAAGCAAAACAAAACTTAATGGATGCAGTTTTTATAACGCCTAGGCCTTATGAAGAAAAAGTAAAGACTAGTTATCACATACTGCTGATTATAAAATTTGTAGCTCAAAAAACGGTACAAATCTTTTAGATTTGTGAACACTTAGAAAATCGATAATGTTGCAATATAGGCTATATCTTAAGGCTTGAAATCTATCTTCTCCTTTTTTTTTTTTTAACAGCCATAATTATTAAGATCGAGACGATCGATTTGAAAGTATTCTAATACAAGAAGTATAATTTTCGATAAGTTTTTAGGTGAGGCTTCATTTTTTTTCCATAAAACCTTGGCCTTATTTTAACCTTTTCCAAAACTAATAATTACTGCATGAGAGAGACAGTTAAAGAGGAGAGAGAGAAGGGGTTAGAGAGAGAGAGAGAATCGTACATTTCCCTATCTTGGGCATGATGAGAATAGAAAGAGAAAGATGATTCGAAACTCTCGGCTGCAGTATACAATTGGCGCCTGAGATCCCTTAGCTCCTGCATTCATGCATCCACAATGCAATTGATATTACATCTATAAATCCAATCCATTGTAAGTTACTATTAACAATCCAACCTATAATAAAAGTGTTATTTAGAGAGAAAAATAGAGGTTAAATGAAAAGGTCGGTTCTAGAGAGAGATATTCTAGCTGAAATTATCTTTTAGAGAGAGAGAAGAATATAACATTCAAGAGAGAGAGAGAGTGTATACTAGAAGGGATTGTGTGAAATGGAGAGCCTGGTCCATGGAGGTCTCATCGTAATTGGAAGAGTGTAGAGCTTCTTGCATAGCTAAAAACAGAGGAGAACTTCTTCCTCTTCTTTTCTTGAAAAGGGTTGGAGCCTTAGTTTAAGATGGCCATGCAATTGCATTCAATTGACTCACATGATGAGCAGAGGAGGGAGATGAGGATAAGTTATCACAGACTGCATGTGAGAATGGAGCTTTATTTATTACAAGGAGAGGGTAAAGATGATCGCTTAATCGGAGGTCACGCCTCCTTGAGAGAGAGAGTCCTGTATGTGTAGTTTGCTTAAAGGGATAAGTTTTCTATAAAGTTGCAACCTTAAAATGTAGAATTAAAGAAGCACCTATAAAATCCATCGAAAAATGTTGTCGATGTATAAATATGAAAAAAAGAAAAAAATTGAGCCTTAGAAATAAGGCATCTTGCAACACGTTATCTAGACCGTCTATTTTTAAGATTTTCATATGTTTATATATCTACTTGATTTTAACCATTTTTGGAGTTTAAAATTTTATAATTAGATATAAATATAGATTTTCGTATAATCTTAATAATATTTTACACCAAAATTACATGTTATGGTAAAATTTGGAGGTACAACTTAATTGGATTGTTTAAGGTTGCAACATTTTAGAAACCTCGCCCCTTGCTGAAATTCATATGTTAATAGCTAAAAATACTTGAAAGTTGTATGAAATCATTAGTGATTTGTATAAGGCTGAGGCTCTAAAGAATCAAAGTAAAGCTCACCTTCAAATAGTGTCGAAAGATGTTTTTTTCGTACTAAAAATCTTTGGGATGGCCTGAAAATTTATTTTCATCTCTAATTATAAAATTTAAAGTTCCAAAAATAGTGTAGATCGAGCAGATCAAAGAAAACTTGAAAATCTAGAAAATTGACGATCCAAAAATGTCTTACAAGATACACTATTTTCAAAACTTGAAACACAATTTTTCTCCTGTCTGTACACCTTGAGCTCGAGATGATCAATTTGAAGATTTTTTGACATCGGAAAAACCTCTTCTAGTGAGATTTTTGTGGTGCACCGTAATTTGATTATTTAAAGCCTCGCATTTATACAAATGGTTTTTATAATGAAATAAAATTATAGATAATTCAATATATGTTTTGTCTGCGAGGACTGCATATGACTACAATGGTGTTGCAGGCAATGTCAAAGGCAAAACAGAGAGGCATGAAGAGCAACAATTGTCACCCATTTTATCAAGTGATGAAACTTCCACGAACAGGACGGTAAGACGTGCGTTGCCAATGTCGCAAGGCAGCTAAAAGGTCTCAAAGAAAGTGAGATCCCCAAAATTATTGTATATTTTAATGTTGGTAACAAGATCTTCAAAAAGTTGGGATCACGATTCCAAAACGTCCGGATCAAGAACTTCAAAAGGTTGAAATCTTGATCTATAACATTTGGGAATCTCCATCCCTAACATGTACATTGTATGGATGGTATTTCCAACCATAGAGATCTTTTAGCATTTCTCGATCCCTCGCTCTTGATTCTGGTATAGTTCCTGCTCCTGATCCCAACAACTATAGTTAGGAGATCCTAATTAAGATTAGCTCAATATGTTATAAGTTTTCCAAGAAGATAAATTAGAAGTCGTAATTAATATTAGCTATGGAGCTTGTAAGTATTATTAAGTATTATTTAAGAGTCCTAATTAGACTAATTAGCGTCGAGAGCGAGAGAGAGTATTTTGTAAAATAGTCATAGGTGGAGAGCTAGAGAGAGGTTTTAGTGCTTCACCGTGAGAAACCAAGGAGATATGTTTGTATCTATGAGTGTATTTCGTACATTATTTATATGTTAATGAATTAAGCGAGTGTGAACGACCAAGTCAATGTCTATATATATATATATATAGAAAAATGATCATATGAGCCGGACAAGAAAAATGAGCTCAACAGTCTTGATTGAATTTGGGTCGATCTGACGATCATAGATGTCAGGTAGTATTTGAATTTTTTTTTTTTTTCTACAAATCCAAAGCACTTGAAATTTTAGGCGCGTCTTCTTCTCATCGAGCCACACCTAATAAAAATATAAAAAAATAATCCGTAAAAACAAATTGAACAAAATAACCACAAAACTTTATGGGGGTATTTTGGTCAATTTTTTCATGAAAACTATTTTTTAAAAAATTCACCTATTTTTCATGAACACGCGCCTGAAATTTCAAGTGATTTGGATTTGTAGAAAAAAATTAAAATTCGAACACTATCGGACATCCGTGATCATCAGATCTGCTTAGATTCAATATGGGCCGTTGGGCTTATTTTTAATTGTAAGCTCACTGGCTCACAGGATAATTTTTTTATATGTGTTTTATATATATTTTTATATTTAATATCGGATCTGCTCTACCTGATCCGACCTAACCCCATAGGGTCCATGCTAGATCTAGACCTAGACGTGGCTCAGGTCAAGTCCAAGCATCCAGAATTGACCAACTGAGTCCAAAACATAGACTTGAACTCGGAACCACTACAGGTCAACCCACCAGGTGTGCCGACCCGATTGCCACCTTACGATTGTATAGTAATATGATGCAATAACATTCAAAAACTATGTTATGGTCATTTGTTTGATCCAAATTTTGAAATATACACTCTTTTCATTTTAATGAATAATAAAAAAAAAGAAAAAATTGAAAACACAGCTTAGAAAGTATTTTTTAACCCAATTAACATAGGCCATTCATTTTAGTGACATGCTTAGATCTAGAACTTAAAAGTATTTTTTCATTTCTAATTGTTTTGGATGGCTTTATTATCATTAGATGAACAATGTTAAAAAACAATAAAATGATTTTTAGTTTATAAAGGCTAAGATCTTGAAATTCAATGGTCTAGATTCGTTTTTGGATGAGACTCATTTTGACAATATCTAGAGTTCAAATTGAATTTTTATTTTTATTTTTTTTATGATTGATTATTGAGATGAAGAGAGTGTGTAAAATTTTAGATCATAAAAATATTTTTTTATTTTTTTTATGATTGATTATTGACATGAAAAGAATGTATGTAAAATGTTAAATCATATAAATACCATAAATATGATTTTTTAGAAATGCGGTTGCACGACGCAATCGTCGCATCAAATCATACCCAAACTTAAGGGCATTCGAGGGTATAATCGTCCTTAGCGTGGTTATGTCTGTCCCTTTTAAGGTCGATCTATGAAACTTCACAGAAGATGAGGCCTCTTTGCAAAAACACAAAACGCCACGCGACTAATCCGTATCGATTTATGGTAGATGGGCACGTGGCATCTGTGGATGCCGTGCACGGTGACGATTAACTATCACTATCAGTAACAAGCTCGGTTCGTAATCAGAGCCGTCCATCATTGAGAAGGTACAGCCGGTGCCTACGCAGCGTACCATCCCGCATGATGCAGGATTGGCGGGAGTGGGGTCTCCAAGGAAATAAGGCGTGGGTTTGTACCCAACAGAGACAAAAAGCTTATCCTTTAAATGATAAGCCTTTCAAGTGATTATCAAAAAAAAGAATTAAAAGAATTTTTAGTATTAAATTAATATATTTTATAACAATTTATTTGGACAGTCTACTTTCAAAAAATTTCCAAGCATTTATAGTTAAACTCGTTTTGAACGATTTTTAATACTTTATATTTCACACTTACGATTGAACAAGAATTTTGAAGTCATCTCAAAGCTTACCACACCATAAATCTATCTTCCGTTAGGTACAGAGAAGCTATTTACAAATGTAACCAACCGTTAGATAGAGAGAATGAAATAGATATTGTTTCATATCATCCAAAATCAGAATTGAATAAAGGGACAAAACCTCAGCGTATGAATAATTTCTGCGCGGACTGACTCCGGACTCGCCCGAGCCGAATCACAACGCAATTGTGGGCTAGAGACCCCCAAATTGCCAAGTATTTATTAACTTTATAATTTTCAAATATTTCATAAGAAATTCCCTATTCGACTCGGACTCATCCGAGTTAAACAGGTCAGACTCCTGCTTGGGCCCTCAGGGAGCCGGAACCTGAATCCAATTTCTTAAACACTGGCATAAATTATACAGTAGCAACTGTCTACACAAATCATTTTGTTAGGCATCTCACCCTTCCTCATAAATGAGAATTGATTAAGAGCACAAATTTCCTCAATTGCAAATTGGGGAGGAATTATATAACCTATCCAATTGTTTGCTAGCCCCCAGTCTCATTATGAGACGGTTTAATAAGGAAATTAAGCCCACTAGATAGTATTTATAGGCACTCAACCTTCATAATAAATTAGAATTAAACCAAACCAATATAGAAAGAACAAAGTCTCCACAGTTGAAAGTTGGGGAGGGACCCCATTCTCATAAACCATGAATAAATGAATCAATAAGACAGTGCCCAAACTTAAAAAATGTAAAGTTGGGTAGGTGATTATATCTCAAAAAATAGAGATCTATCATCCCAACCTCAACATACATAACCATCCCCATACATTGACTCAAAAATGAAAATGCTTCCTAAATTTGCAAATTTGGGAAGGAATGGCAAGATCTCTAGACAAAAGCTTGGTACTTGACATAAGCCATCCAACCCTAAACATTTCATGAAAAATAAAGTTTATCCAAGTCGAGGGAAAAAAATAAACCATACCCAAATCAAGGGCAAAAGCTTCCTGGATTAGAGAGCTGGCTTGGAATAAGGAAGTGCCTCAACCTCCCTTCCGCATTTTTCATATACCCTTCACATAAGAAACTCATTGAATACTTGTCCTCAACAGGTCTGTCACAGTCATGAACAAAAACATCAGTTTCTCCCCCATCTCTCCTACTCCGTGCTATCATCCCTGCTGTGTATATCGCAGTCATCCTCCCTGGTGCTCCACTAAAATACCCAGTTGGAGCATCAACCATTATAAGGTCCCAATTCACCTCATATAACTCATCAGGCATTCCTTTAATGGAAAGTCTACAGTCTGAGTCTCTTGGGTTTTGAACTCTTCTGCATTCCTCTGTTTCTCCATATTTTAGGAGCTCATCAGCTTCACTGACTCTGGTAGTGTATTGGAGGTGGTAGGCTTCTAGGTTTGGGATCTTCTGGGTTATTTGTTGAATCCAGGCTTTGTCTTCCTCTAAGAAGACCGTTCTTCCATTGTAGTTGAGGGAGCTCCACAGGAGGCTGTCATGGCCAAGGCCAAAGATGAGGAAATTGCATGGGGATTTTTGGAGGAGGACACTGGAGGTGATGGAGATTTCCTTTATGGTTTGTTGGGGTGTTGTGTTTGAGGTTGCATAGTGGATCAAGGACTGGACTATTGCTTCAGGGAGCTTTGTGCATGATGATGATGGTTTGCACAGAGTTGGTGATGGGGACGATGATGATGCCTCTAATGGGGATGATGACGATTGGACTGAAGTGGATGAGGAGGACAGTTTTGAAGATGATGATGGTGATGAAGGAGATAGTGGGGATGAGAGATTTGATCTCAGAATGAAGAGGAGGAGGAAAACAAGGGAAAATACTAAGAGGAGGAGCTTAAGGGTGGAAGATTGATGGGTTTTGGACCTGATGGAGGACTGGAAAAACCCCATGATGAAAGATGGGATTTTCCCTTTGGGTTTTGAGGGGAGATGTATATATGTTTGAAGAGGGTCAAGAGAGAGGACAGATTGGGATCTTGTGAGTGAAGAAGAGAATTGGACAGGTGTTGTGGGAGGAGTTATTCCTCCTATTTGAGATAGGTTTTGAGGAAAGATGTATATAATAAGGCTGGATTAAAGAGGAAAAATAAGAGGAGAGAGAAAATTGGTAGCTTTTGAATGAAGAGAGAGAATTACAAGGGGGTTGCTGATAAACTGTCATTGGATGATTGGGTGTTGATTTCTTGTACACCCAGCAACGAAGATCTGATGATTGATATGGAGGGTGTAACTACTATGGTTTTGGATGGTGGTTTTATGCATGGTGTGGAAAGAAGTAAAAAGCGGTTTCAGAGTGAGGATGAGTGGTATTCATGGGAATAAGGAAAACATTAGTTCAGTAAATTGCGGTGGTTGGCTGTTCCCTTTCTAATTGTTTTCATTTTTGCAAAGAAAGCAAGGGTTGGTGAGAGAGGTGTGGTGAGGGGAATCTTGCATATGCATGAATTTGATTATATATTTTCCAGAAAATGAGGAGAGATTTAGAAAGATGCATAGGTTTTTTTAAAAAAAAATTCAAAGCTAAATATGTCCATATTGACCTAAATAGCCCTCTCTTTTCCCTCTCTCAAAATATGTGCATATTGAACTAAATACACCCTCTCTCCGTCTCTGAATATCCTCTATATATATATATAGGGATATGCCCATAGTCACTTAAAAAGAGTAAATTCTATGCTTGTCCTAATTTATAGAACTTCTTATACTTTCTTTCCATCGAGCTTTCCATTTTTTCTTTACCTATTTTTTCAATAGATTGGAGAGTTGCATTTTGAAGGTATTAACTGGGGGTGTCAGTGATAGGAATGGATAGATCCGGTGGGTAATTGGGATGCTATCACCATGGCCCTGCCTCTTTCTTAGCTTTCCAATTTATATCAAATAAGCCATTTACAGTTTGACTCAAATCTGACATCATATAATTTTATTTTATTTTTATTGTACAAATTATATGAATATGACATATCATCATCTCAGTAGGGTGCCCCTAAAAATATATAAATAATATAATTTTAATAAAAAATGATAAAAATACCCTTGAATTTTTCTAGGGTATTTTGATTATTGTATTTTATTTTGAACATTTTTTTTTTATATTTTTTGAAAATGCAAGTTTAAGAGAAGAGTGGAGGACCACAATTTGGTATCATAATATTTTGTAGAAATAAATAAAAATAAAGCAGTGTAGAGGCAGTGTAGAAATAAATAAAAATAAAGCAATGTAATTAGATCCATCTCAATCGTTCATTCAGATCTGATGGTTAGATAAGGAGAAGTATGGGGTTGGGGGCGTGGTGGTAATATTATTTGTGCCCCAGCTAAAGTCTAGGCTTTCATTCTCACCTAACGCATTCAAAAAGCACTAACAAATTCAAAAAAAAAAAAACATGTAGGGCCTCGTCATTCCCACTTAATTATCCAAAAAAACCAATTATGTAACTATTGTATATTAAGGGAGGTATAGAAAGCTTGCCCAATAGTAAATGCCTTCCCCCTAGTAAAAGAAAAGAAAAAGTAAAATCACCCATAAATATGCCTTAATTATGTCTATATTAACCAAAATAACCCCCACCCCCCTATTTCTCTCACACAATCCTTAAAATTTTCAAAATTGAATTCCCGTGGCAAGAATGACAAAATCCTCTCTCCCACACATAGTTAGCAAGTCGGATTATCAATAAAACGGCTCACCATGAAATCGAAAACTATTCTTTTTTATTTTAAAAAGTTGGATAAAAAAATCGGGTAAAAAATATGGATCGGTAAAAATACTTCATGTAAAGAGATCGCGAGTATATCGGACTAGGCTCAAAAAATCGGAGTTAAAAAAAATCTGATATATTTAAAGTATT